ATTTACAGCTGAAAGTTTTTTTTCCAGGTGCAGGTTACTTGATTTATACTCTTAATCCTCTGGTATCACTTTCCAAAATTTCCAGATGTGGTACATGGTGGAGATGAAAGTGAGGCCTTGTCACATGGACTGAACAGTTTAAGCACTGAAACAAGCACACATGCCTCCTCACAAGGTCACTATGAACACCTTCTGTAGTAAACTATAGGTGATAAGACGTGACAGACCTTTTAATTCTTCAAATAAAATGTTTGTATTTTTGCCTAAAACTATTTCCCTGTGATCATCTTTCCCATAGCGAGAAGTGATACTTTGGAAAAGTCATCCCAAGAAAGCATGATCTCTGAGACACAGATGTTTCAGACAATGGGCACAGAGAGTGAGGTATGTATATGAAGTTTTTGTCTTATGCTTACAGTTCACAATTTTTAATGGAGGTTTGGAAGTGTGAAATGCAGGACCTCTAGTGTAAGAATGAATTTCAATGTAAATAATGTTTACATTATGCATTAACACGGCACAAGTAAGCAAGAAAGAGACAAAAGAGAAATAACTTGACCCGGGGAGGTCTGTGATGTTGCACACGGGGGAGCCCCATCTTGAAACTTGAAATGTTCCTTCAGTGCACTGCCAGTGTGAAAACTACAAACATCTTCCACATAACATTAACTGAGCCCTTTTTGGCTCCTACTGCAGCCACTGCTGATGTCAGTAAGCAGCAGAAAAGTTCACACCGGAGCCGGGTACATGGTGCTGGCACACACAGATGGGAAGCAGCAACACAACAAGGTCAGAGAGGACCTTCATACCCCTACCCTCCACTCAGAAGTGTGAAATGCAGGACCTCTAGACTGAAAAACTCTTTCTTTCCGACTGCCATCAGACTCCTAAACAGCTGACTCAGGATCTACCTCATGTAATTCCATCTGTACTGTTTACATACTCATTTTGCACATGCATAATTGCACACTCACTGCTGAATATTTACACTCCACGGCTCCCATGTAGCATATATTCCCTCTGTGTTATATTGTGTTATTGTTGTATTTTTATGTGGACAGCAAAGTAAGAATTTCATTGTACACGGAAACACGTTTCCTAACTGTGCATATGACAAATAAACACTTTGACCTGGACCTTGACCTAAAGTGTACTCACCATACTCCAAGAGAGACCCCTTCCTCTGATGTCAAGTACATGTTGATGGTGTGATTAAGGGAGAGCTCAGCAGGTTGATTTAGGTCAATGAAGAACGGCAGCCTGACTACAAACAGGAAAAGAAGAGAAGTGAACCCTTTTTAGTGAGCAATGTGAGGATTTACAGTTTCCCAAGAGTCAGACACTTACTTCTGTGAGTGTAAACAAAGTGCTGGATTAATTCTTGGAACGTTTTCAGCGAGAAAAGCAGGAGGACAACAATGAGGGCCAACAAGCCTCTTTTCAGCCACCTTCGGAGCCTGAGAACAGACAGAAAAATAACACCAATGTGACTAGGCACTAATAACCATTATCTTAAATACACTGTTCCAGTAAAGTTCTTGAGAAATCTCTAGGTGGTCTCCAACTGTTATATAATTTTTAATACTACTGACTAGCAGTGCTAAGAGCACCAGCATGGTCATTTGTTAATTTAACAATACTTATTTTTAGGGCTATCAATGTTAATGCAATAATAACACGTTAAAGCAAATTCCTTTTAATGCCACTGATTTATTGAGGTGTGATTAACGCACATACATTCTGTGATTATGACCCTGCTGGGTAGCTTGTGAATTTTCCATCATAGATCAATGAGATCCTATAATTACACAGTATTTTTTGCATTCATCTGGATCTGAAAAGTAACTAATGACTAAAGCTATAAAATAAATGTAGTGGAGTAAAAAGTACAATATGAAGTAAAAAACAAAAATACAAGATACCTCACAACTGTACTTACAACAGTATATTTTAACTGACTGACAGCACTATTGCCAGTTAATGCTGGTGAGCCCTCATCAGAGCTGTACAATCAGAAGTTTCACTAAATTAACACTATGGCAACACTATAAACGTTTCCCTTCCATCTGACCTCAGCTCTACCCCAGCTTCATTTCAGATGACTCAGCAGCTCAAGGCAGGAGGACGAGGGTGTGGTGCAAAAAGAACAAGCTGGAGCTCCGTGTGGACTAAAAAAAGCAGTTGACACCAAAAAGACTTTGAAACTGGTGCAGCAGGTGTACATGGGAATGTACACAACAGCTTATTGACATTCAGACTGTGGTTGAAGTAGCAGTAAAGATCTAAATAATCTAATCAAGAAGACAAACCACCATTGGAGTCAGTCCTGACTCCCTGGAGCCAACTGCAGTAAAAAGGATGCTATTTAGACTATTGCCAATTAGTGGACAATATGTCCCGCCCCCTCCATTAACACTCTACTCAGTCCAAAGAGCCATTTTAGTCAGACTGATAACTGTACTCCGCCTGAGGGAAATATCAGTGGAGGAAAGTAACTAAGTACATTTACTCAAGTACTGTACTTTTCAGTGATGCACGATAAATCGTTTTGGGAGTGTGAGTTAGATTCCTGTGCGACCCCAGTCTCAAGTGACAATGATTCTACTGTGTTTGCATTAGCAGGGAGACTTTGACTTCACTGCATTTTAGAGGTACATATTGTACTTTTTACTCCACTACATTTATTTTTGAGCCTAACTTTAGATTTAATTATGTACGGTTCAAAATCCAGTAACACAAAGTCCATGCACTTGTACTTTCCACTTGTATTTCCTGCTTAATACATGACTTATCATTTCCTACATCTCATTTATATTTGATAAATCCTTTGCACAGCATAACTTAAGATGTCTACAACAATGTATTTGACCTGATTAATAAAGTCTAACGTTATCTATCTATATCAAACGCAAAACAATTTAGTACAGGAATGTGTCACCCATGTGACCCATTAACTAAACTAAACGTTATATGCTCGGTTGACTGAAGGTTACAAACTTCATTTTGTTAATTTTTACCACAATGCTTGATCAGGGCACTGGTTGGAAAAACTGTGCACACGCAGTCTTTTTTCAGAGACCACTAACATGTCAGCCTGCAAGCACCACACACTTGTGTGCAGACATCGACAGTCCTGCACGTACAGTTAAGCTAACAGTTAACTAGTGAAGCCAGCTAGCCTACTTACGGTGTCCCCTCCTGGCTCTGGGGTGTCACAGTCCGCTGGGCGTCTCTCGCTGCGGAGGATGAATCACTTTGTTTAATTAACCTTCTCTTCATCATGTAACGTTAATGCCAAAGTTTAAGTAAAATACACTTTAATGTATTCTAACGTTTAGCCGGGTCAAGCCGTCTTCCCAACACTTGTTTAATGGCTAACAAAGCTCAAACTCCAAAGTACAGTAAAGGGGAGGTACTGGTGTTGCGTTCAAATCTGTTTCCCCGTCGAGATGTATTTCCCTTATCCTAGCCATAACCACAGAGGGGGCGTGACTAGAAACACAATTTTAACATGGGGAAACACTTCCTGACGGGGGAACAAATTTTGACATAACACATGGAGACACATTATTAGAGCATATACTGACCACTTGACTGGTAGATTTGTCCATTACAGGGAGCAACATGTATCAGTTTTGTGGTAGCAGCAAAAGTGGTGCTGCCTTTGGAATAAATAGCAATATAAACCTCCACTGGGATAAACAGTGGAAGAAATGTTTGAGAGGTTAACATGAGCAGTGATTATTACATCAAGCCTGGCATGTTTGTCTCAAAAGAGTAACACATGCTGATTATTGTCATGCAATTAATACTTCACATCTACTTTTATGGCACACATTTTAAGAACCACTGTGTGAAAAAATCCCCTTTGAAACAGACTTGGATAGAATAAAATGTGAAAGCCTCAGTATGAAAAGAACACTTGAGAGGACAGAAGCTACCAGCACTACACAAACAAGAAAAGAGCAGCTGCAACAAAAACTCCCCACAGTGGGGACTTCCGGCTGGCGTTTGATGGAGTAGGCACGGTAGAAGTGGCTCCGTGAAATAAATTGATAATAAACACACGAACCCTCTAAAGCTAAGATACTTCGGAGCACTAGGTGACGGGCAATCCCAGCATAGAGGGTCGGATATGAAAAAGGCAACTCGGAGGAAAAACACAGGACAGACTCAGAAAATTATCCCTTTCGCAGTACAAAGTCCTAAGATGGCGGATGCTACAGTAGAACAAGCCGAAGCTACGGCCGGGATTGTGCAGCAGCATGCGTAGGCCGAGCTGCCGGCTACACTCTCTCTTCTGACATTAAAGGAAGAACTGGGTGCATTTAAAGATTTAATGCTTACTCAGATGAAAGCTGAATTTGACACATCGTACCAAATAATTATGGACAATATAAAATTGCTCAAAGAAGAAACGAAGACAGAGATACGGGCTATGCATGATATGCTAACCAACGAACTAGCACAACTTCGCTCAGAGCAGGCCGCAGTAGCTGCGGGTCAACAGGAGATAGAGGATGCACTCAGTGGGGCTCTGGAGAGAGTGGGGGCGCGGGAGCAGGCCCAACAAGACATAGCCAAGGATCACAAGAAATTAATGGACAAATGCATGGATCTGGAAAACAGAAGCAGGCGGCAGAATCTCAGGCTTGTGGGCATAAAGGAAGGGGCTGAAGGGCATAACACTATCAAGTTTGTGGCGGGCTTTTTCTCGACGGTGCTTGGACCGGATAACTTCGCTACCCCCCTGGTCATAGACAGGGCACATCGTACGTTAGCACCAAAGCCAGCTAGACACGGTGAACGCCCTCGTGCAATTTTGGTACGTCTGCACTACTACACAGACAAGATGAGGATACTGGACCTCGGGAGGATGAAGGGACGGCTGACATACGAGGGAGCGCCGGTATACATCTTTCCGGACATGAGCCCGGAGGTGAACAAGCTACGGGCGGCTTACAACCTGGTGAAGAAGAAGCTACGGGAGGCGAACGTCGAATACAGTCTGTTCTACCCAGCTAAGCTCTGCATCACGTTGAATGGGACTAGACATTCGTTCAACTCTCCTCAGGCTGCGGAGGATTTCTATACCAAAAACATCTCTAAGGGGACTTAACGAGATTGAACACTACTAAAGATGAAACACATTTGCATTGGTTTTGGTGAGTCTGTTCTACGTTAGTCTTGGGTTATGCCCTGATTTAAAGCCGGCTCTATATTGGAATTGCTTAACAGTTTTATATAAGGCTTTGGATGCTGCAGTTTCTCTGAGGTTGCAGTAAAAATGGACAGTTGCATTACAAGTCACTACTTTGTCATGATAGTGTCCCTCTTTTCTTTCTTTCTTTCCTTTATATATATATATATATATGAGAGGCCTCATGACTTGTGTTTGAGGGTTCGGATGTTTGTGTTTAGACTTTAATTCTTTTGAATGGGAGCGAGATGCCAAAGAAGTCTTTCCCTCTCCTTTTTCTTGCATTTTGTCTTGAGTAACCGAAGACAGGTGGTTTCACATGGCTGTTTGTTTTCCTTCACTGCAAGTTCAGATGCAGTGGAGGGTGGAACGGGGATTGGTTAAGCGCTCTGTTCCCTTGGAGTTTAGTGTTCGGATATGTGTTAACTTTTTTTTTTTTCTTTTTTTCTTTTTTCTTTCTCCTCTCTTTCTTTCTCCCCAGGGGACGCACGAAGACTACATGCTTTGTTTATGTTTGCTAATAACGCTGTGTGGTCGACGTGATGGAGGCTACAGGGGCTAGTAATGAAACCGGGGTGCGGTTTGTTAGCTGGAACTGTAAGGGTCTGAATGGTTCAGTAAAAAGAGGCAATATTCTGGCTCACTTGCAAAACTTAAGAGCAGACGTGGTCTTCTTACAAGAAACTCACCTGAAAAACCAAGCTCATAGGCTATTGCGCAAGAAGTGGATAGGCCACGTCTACCATTCGAATTTTAATGCAAAATCGCGGGGGACAGCAGTTGTTATAAGCAAATCTATTCCCTTTACATTAACAAGTGTTCAGGCTGATCCAAATGGACGGTATGTAATTGTGACAGGGAAAATTTTTACTGCACCAGTGATTTTGGCAAACATCTATGCTCCAAACTATGATGATGATAAATTTATTAGCTCTTTTCTGAACCGGTTACCTAACCTTCATACACATAACTTAATTTTAGCAGGTGATTTTAATTTTGTTTTAGACCCCGTGAAAAACAGGTCTTCTTATAGAACTTAGACCTTGGGTAAATCGGTCAAGATCCTACAGCAGTTTCTAGACTCAACTAGCACAATAGATATATGGCGACATATGAACCCAACCCAAAGGAAGTATTCATTTTTCTCACGACCTCACAATTCTTTTTCCAGAATAGATTACTTTTTTGTGGATTCTAAATTGGCCCCTTCAGTTAAATATATTGACTACGAAGCTATAGTGCTGTCCGATCACGCCC